ATGTAGAAACCCCGAAACCCAAACTCAATTGTCTTTGGGTCTATTCGGACTTATGGTGACCCTACCGAGCAGGGTCAAACTGCCCCCATGGGTTTCTGAGACGGTCGCTCTTACATCTTTCTCCCTACATGGCGTATGGATGACATTAAATGTCACCAGACTGGCCGTGAGAACGAAGGCCTGCGTGCAGGCAGAGAAGAGGTCCCCGGAAGGAGCCCTGGCGGTCTCGATGGGAACGGGATGAGAAGGGGAGGGGAGACTCTGTCAAGGACACTAGAAGGGAAAGCAAGTAAAGTCGGGGCGGCACCGGGAGCCAAGCCCCAGCAGTCAAGTGGGAGCAGGGTTCTCGTTGGCCCGGACTCAGGAGAGAGCGGGGGGGCTAAGAATTGGAGATGATGCATTCAGGGCCAACTCTCTGGAGTTGTGCTGAAGTACAGAAGAGAGACCAGCCAGGGCTACCAAGAGAAGACACAGACAGAGGCACTTGCCTAGGTTTGCAATTGAGAAAAACGTAGCTGACCTTGTTTTAGACTATGTCATTTAAATTAGCACAGTGCATTTTGTTCACAGAACCGATTTCAGTGAGAAAGAGGGAAGGGCTCAATAAGTTCTTTCGTTAGGCTCATCAGAAAATAAGAAATGTAAAAAAGAAGAAGAAATGTAGGTTTGCTCGCAACTGCAGAACCCTCTAACACGCTTGAATCCTTAATGACAAACATGGCATCCTGAACGGCATGCCGTGCTAACTCACGGCCTCGTCTTGATGAGCATTTGAAGGCATGCTCGTTGCCTCTTGCTGATCACTGCTGTACCGTCCTTGAGGTGGTTGTTAGGTGCCAAGGAGCTGGTTGCAACTCACAGTGCCCTTCTGGACCCGCAGAACGAAACACTGCCTGGTGCTGCGCCCTCTTCCTCACTGCTGCCATGCTGGAGCCCGCTGATTCAGCTACTGCCTGCCTCCATCCTTGAGACTGAAGGTCTTCCTCTACCTGCTGCAGCTCCTTCACCACGTCGCGTCTTCCAAAAAGACACAGGGGAAGAGACGCTGTCTTCGGTTTGCTCCTTAAATATGTCTCTATTTGAACACTACGAAGCACGAGGGGCTCTTGACTGTAGGCATCCCTAAGAAGCTCTACAGCACAGGGATGAACTCTCGCTGATGATAACCAGCTCCTCAATCTCTTCCTAGCAGCTTGGGCCATTTGCTCAGAGTGATTTGCCCATGGTTTGCTTTCGGTACAGTGCACCGATATGCCCCACTATTTTTTGAATTGAGCCATGTGACTTGCATTTGCCCATGGAGTATGAGCACGTGGCCTCTAACCATGTTGCGTGGTTCAGCCCTGTGCTCTTCTTTGGAGCTTTGCTCTCTGCCCTTCAACAACACGGTCCCACGGTGGCTGCTACTTTAGCCCAGAGCTCACTCGAAGCCGGCGGATTTGCAGCCGAGGCGCCGTCCTTAGGTAACCCCCCAGTCAGGTAGGTATAAAGGGTGCTAAGTCATTGAGAGTCTGGGATTGTTTGCTCCCACAGCAAAAGCCAACGACTATAGACTTCCATTGGACCCTTGAGTTCCTCAAGCAAAAGGACTCTGTGTGTCTGCTGATGTTACGTCCTAATGCTTGGCACGGACGCTGTGAAAGCGGGGCCATGATTCCTCCTGTCGCCGAGAGGAAGCCGACTCTGGAAACTAACAGTGAAGAACAGTAAGCAGGTGCAGAGCGAGGTCAGATCTGTCTATCCTGCCTCGTGAAGCTTTGTTGGCTGAAGTTCTGACAAACAGTTCCCAGTATTGACCCATGGGCAATACCCGGATAACAGCCTTAACGTCCTGCTCCAAGCCCCAGGCACCCCCTTTCTGACGGCCTGATTTGGGTCTTTTGAATTCATGGCTGATTGGTATGGAAAGCTTGGGTAAGCTGTGTTTCACAGAGGAGAATTGGGCATGGCCCATCATCTATATACTTTCTAACCCTGTTGTTCTCGTGTGTCATTCTGACTCACAGTGATTTCATATAACAGGGTAGAACTGCCCCATTCAGCGCCCCCTTTCCCATAAAACCAAACTCATTTCCTCTGAGTCCATTCTGACTTAGAGGGGCCCTATAGGATAGGGCAAGGAGTTCTGGTGGCTCAGTGGGTGAACTATTAGATGACTACATGAAAAGTCGGCAGTTCAAACCCACTGGCCACTCTGTGGGAGAAATATGAGGCCTCTGTGCCTATAAAGATTTACAGCCTCAGAAACCCTCTGGGTTAGTTCTGCTCTGCCCTAGAGGATGACTATCCATCCAGATGGACTCACGGGCAGTCCATCAAGGGTAGGGTAGCACTGCCCCGCAGTGTCCAAGGCTGCAATCCTTATGGAAGCAGATTACCACAGCATGGAGTGGCTGGTGGGCTTGACATACACTTCTATTGGTCAGCACCTGAGCACTGACCACTGCTCCATAGGTGCCTCAAAGAGTTAAGGGCAAGTAGAGGATATTTACTTTAAATGTATGGGAGTGGTTTTGCCATATGCTCCCTTTCAAGCTTAAGAGACACACAGTGTTGTACAAGTAGGGCTCTCCCACTGCAAAGAAGCTAGTCAACCCTCTGCCCTTGTTTCTTCAGTAAAGCCCTGCCTTGCGCAGAGACAGTGTGAGACACTGTGTCGTGGAGAGACACAATGTAAGCTACGGTTTTGCCCTTCAAGGGGCTTATAATATAATTGAAGCACTCAGGAGTTACATACCCATTTAATGCATCAAATAAGAGGGGGTATATGGGGGAAAGGTTGAAGTTGTCAAGGATTTAATCTTGCTTGAATCTACAAGCAATGCTCATAGAAGCAGCAGTAAAGAGATCAAAAGATGTATCGCATTGGGTCAATCTGCTGCACAAGATCTCTTAAGAGCAAGGATGTTCCTTTGAGGACTAACGCTCGCCTGATCGAAGCCATGGTCTTTTCGATGACTTCGTCGTATACATGTGAAAGTTGAACATCAAATCACGAGACTGAAGAACTGATGCGTTTGAATTGTGGTGCTGGTGAAGGATATTGAAGTACGGACTGCCAGAAGGACAAATCAATCTGTCGTGGAAAAAGTCCGGCCAGAGTGCTCCTGGGAGGCGAGGGTGGTGAGACTTCATCTTAAGTACTCTGGACATGTATCAGGAGAGGACATCGTGCTTGGTGAGGGGCGGCGAACGAGAGCAAGGCCCTCAACAAGGTGCCTTGACCCAATAGCTGCAACAATGGGCTCAAGCGTCGGCACAGCACAATTGGGAGGCGGGCACGGGACTGGGCAATGTTTCATTCTGTTGTGCAAAGGGTCGCTATGGGTCAGAACCAACTGGACGGCCCCTCACAGTAACACCGTGTGAATGTCGGGACACCTGGCAATTAACTAGGTTATGTGGGCAAAGCCTTTGTACTACCCTGTGTGCAAAACGGAATCGAGAGGTCAGTGTAAGGCCCTCAGATGTCTGTGGCTTTGTGACACCCAGGGACACTGAGAAGCAGCGTGATACGACCTGAAGGTCCAGTGTAGGGGACAGGCAGTAAGGGATTTTATCCGGAGGAACTCTTTCCTTCCTGTGCTTGCTCCGTCTCTGTGGTGCTTAGATTACACGGCTACTTGTACTTGAAGGAAGGGATCAGGGTGGAGCCAACCTGTCAATCAAGTCACAGCCTGATGATGCCTCCTTAGGGGTGTGGCCTTTTTATAAGCGAGACACTAAGATCTTCTCTCTCTCTCACTCTCTCGTCCTTTGAGCTCCTCCTTGCTTGGATTCTGTGTCTGTATCCAGGGTGGCTCACTCAGGTTACCGGTCCTGGGTGCTCTTGGCACCCTGCCATACTCCCACTGACCTTGCATCCATGCAGCTCTGCTCGGTGATCTCTCTGCGTCCTGCTTCATCTTTCTGCATTTTCGGCCCACAGCTATGTGAGTTTGAAGCAGGCTCCAGCTAACATCGGACCCCTGGCCTTGAGTTGCTCTGAGTTGGGACGCCATCATGAGATAAGATCACTTCTTGATGTAAACCTCTTTCTTACACATACATAAGAGTCACTGGGTTTGTTTCTATAGACACCCCAGCCTAACACAGCCCCCAGCTCTAAGCTAATCTTGTTACAGCCCCGTGCTGGCTCTCTGTCCCCTAAGCCCTGGGTCGTCCGAGATGCAGTAAGGCTAACAGAAGTAGGACTCCTCAGCTAGAGAGCCCCCAATAATTCTCCGACACCACAGACTGAAGTAGGACCAGTGGAAGGTATTTTCCAAATGCGGACTGAGCCCCAGGGAGCTCCCTGGTCTGAGGTCTGCTTGGCCCAGTGGGGGTGCCTGACGCGGCTATGTTTACCCACAATAGGACAAGCTTCTGGAGAAATGGCGAAGAGGAGATGGCTATGAAATTGACCCCTTGATAGAGATCATGTTTCCGAGAGCTGAACCCCCTCCTCTCCTGGGGCTCAGCCCAGGGTGTGGCCACAAAGAGCCTGGCTGAGACCTGCGAAGCTCCAAGTGACCGAGAAGGAAGAGGCAGCTGGGAGAAGCTGCAGCATCGACCCTTGAGAATACCCACTGATGCTTTTATGATTTTACTTTGGAAAAATACAGACGGTGGAGATAATCCTATTGGGGAAAATAGTCCGCTGGCCTCAGGGATTAGCCCACTCTGCTCCCCTGGTGGCTGGATGCAAACAGATTTAAATCGCAGGCCCAGAGCCTGGTGGGGGTTGCTCAGGAGGCCAAGGAATTGCTTTCTCTAGTCGGCTGCTTTCAGTTGGCTGGGTGATGGTGAAGGCTCCCTCCGGCCCCCACCCTCCAGGCTGACAGAAGCCGGGGACCAGAGTGCTTTAATGCTGTTTAACACTCGGATCAGAGTTGAGTCCTTTAAAGCCAGGGAACTCATTCGAAAATCTCCATTTCGACAACTCAAGCTCTTTGGCAAAGTGCTCCCGGCGATTCCGCAGACAAGAGAACGTGGTCAAGAAGAAGCGTGGCTGTACTTACTCGGCACTCCAGACACCAGGCGCAAAGGGCGCAGGACTCGGAAAGCCCTCAGCGCCTTCACATCAAATCCGGCGCCCTTTCCCCCAAGGACGTTGGGCCCGTCGGCTTTGGTGGCTTGCTCTAAAATGGCACTGAAGAGCCTGGAAGGAGGAAGGGGAGAAGGAGCCGTCAGAACAGTGGGTCGCCATTCTCGGGGAAGCCGGCAAGGGCAGCAGTGGCAGGGAGGCTGGGCATCCTCCACGCCGGGGCTGAAGCACACACCCCGGAGCGAGGAACAAGACCACAGGCAGACCCTGGGCCAAATTGCCAGGCAGGTCCACTTGGACACCAGTCACCTGAGACTGTGCGGGGCCTCTGTCTCCCTCCGTGGCAGCCTGGCTCCTCTCTTGTGCATACTCTCTCTCCCTGCCATTACCCGTGCCTCCCCAGAAGCTGGCACAAATAAGCACAAATAGCAGAACTCTACTCTGGCCCTGGTACAGACCCCGTCTTCAGGAGCTGCTTGCGCGCAGCATAAGGGGAGCGTGATGGTCTAAATTGGTGGTTCTCAACCTGTGGGTCAAGACCCTTTTGGGGGCTGAACGACCTTTTCACAGGGGACGCTCGATTCATAACAGTAGCAAAATGACAGTGATGAAGTAGCAATGAAAATAATTGTATGGTTGGGGGGTCACCACCACATGAGGAACTGTCTGAAAGGGTCGCGGCATGAGGAACGTTGAAAACTGCTGGTCTAAATGAATAGGTTTCAGGAAGGAAGGTGTGGAAATTCACCTGCTGCTCTGTGTCTGGGCTGGTTTCTCCCTGCCTTCAGTGCCAGGCGTTGTTCTGGACGCTCGGGCTACAACACTGAACCCAGCGGACCACGCTTCACAAACCTGGGGGGCTGCCGGTCAGGTGGAGGAGATGGACAATAAACCAAATGAACCGTAAAGAGAGCTGGTGGGTCCAGACCATTGCATGAACTGAATATCACGAGAGAGAGTCACATGAAGTCTGCATACCTTTTGTGCTTACATTAAACCCACCAGCTGCTCTACAGGAGAACGATGGAGCTGTCTGCCCCTGTAAAGATTTGCAGCTTCAGCCACACTAGACATGAGTTGCTATGAGTTGGAATTGGAAGTCCTAAACAGGGCTGCCATGAGTGGGACCTGACTCGATGGGGGTGGGGTGGAGGTGGGGGTGGCATTCTGTGAAGCATGCCACACAAATGAACATACTGCCATGGAGTCCACGTCTACTCAGAGGGGCCCCACGTCACACGCTCACTGGCTTCAAATGGATGCTGGCTCACAGCAGCCCTTGAGGACGGGGTAGAACCGCCCCTGTGGGTTCCTGAGACGGTAGCTCTGTACGGAGTAGGAAGTCCCATCTTGTCCCTGTGCCCTGACGTGTAATCTCTAAATCCTTACAGAGCAGTAGCCTCATCTTTCTCCCATGGGATAGCCCGTGGTTTTGAACCACTGACCTGGCGGTTAGCAGTCCAACCCTAACCTAACAGCAGCATTAGGGCTCTTATTTATAGATAACGTCGTGAAATCTCGTGAGGATTTCCAAAGGCAATGCGGAGACACAAAGGGAGCAAGCGCATGGGAAAAACATGCCGACAGATTTGCCTCCATCTTTAATTTGTGAAAACTGAAGCACGTTTGTATGTATATATTGTACCTTAGAAAGTATATTTATTTCTACACACTGTATTTATGATATAAATAGTGTGACACTGTTTATATTACATATACTATATATGTGAGTGTGTGGCAGTTACATAATTTTTTGTCAACTTGAGCGAAGGGGTGGAGTCTAGTCTGTCAGTCAGGTCACAGCCAATGAGGCATCTGTGTGGGCATGACCTTTTCCCGAGGATTCTGGGAACTCTGGTTTTCCTCCCTGGAGGCAGGACACACTCCCTGTGAGACATTTCCTGTTGACAAGGAGCTATGCTGATGGAGCCAGAGCCCTGGAGCTGGAGGTGCCACGTGGTGACTCACGCCAGCGCGAAGATGCTTCCACTGCCACTGGATCCACAAGACTTTCCACCCACTGCCTGTGATCTTTCTTCCTGCATTTGGTGCCATTGCAAGTGCTGCGTGAGTCTGAAGAGGAATTGATAGACTAGTATTGGACATATGGGCTAATATCGGACTTAAGGACTTGATCTGGACTGGGTTGAGATGTTTTCTTAATGTCCAATTACTCTTTATATAAAGCTCTTTCTTACACACATGTGAGTGCCTATGAATTTTGTTTCTCCAGTCTACCCAGATAGCACATATAATTTCTACAAATGTGAATATATACACACACACAATGCTTCTATACAGAATTTCTCTACATGTAAATATATACATTCTATGTTAGAGTGCGAAGTGCTAAGGGTGAAGAGTAAAGAGTGAAGTAGGAGTTGGAATGGCGGGGTTGGGAGACTGGGAACAGAGCTCTTTCCTTAGGAGTCGTGTCTATAGCAGACCTGCAGAGAGCAAAGGAGTGAGCCGGGTGGGCCTCTGTGGAAGCCTCCGCAAAGCAGCATGGTCACCGTCAGAGGGACTTCCCGGTGGCAAGTGTGGCTGGTGCAGAGCACAGGAAAAGAATCCCACGCTCACTGCCATCGAGTCCACTCTGACTCACAGAGACCCTACAGGGCAGGGCAGACCTGCCCTGGTGCCTTTCCAAGACGTTCACGCTTTAATGGAGCGGAAGGCCTCACCTTGCTCCCGAGACTCAGCGTGTAGAAAGGAGGAAGTGGGGCGACCTGCTGGGCATGCTCTGACCTGGAAGCTCTGGAGAGCTCCTAGCAGGAGAAGGATATGTCTTGAGCACAGTTTTAAAAGAATCACCTGCCTGTTGAGGGGAGAATGGCCTGCGGGGGTCCAGATCCAAAGTGGGCTGCACTGATGAACACGTGGGAGACGCGGTAGGCTTGGGTCACGGAGGGAGTGTTGGAGCTGCTGAGAAATGGTGAGATTCCAGATGTATTTTAAAGACAGCCGATGGGATTGGCTAGTGGACTAGATTTGAGGTGTGGGAAAGTGAGGTATAAAAGTTGATTTCGGTGCTCGGCTATCAAAAGATATAGCATCTGGGGTCTTAAAAGCCTGAAGATAAACAAGTGGCCATCTAGCTGAGAAGCAACAAAGCCCACATGGAAGAAGCACACCAGCCTATGTGATCATGAGTTGTCGGTGGGATCAGGTAGCAGGCATCAAAGACCCAGAACAAAAAATCATGTTGACATGAATGAGGGGGAGACGTGGAGACGCAAAGCCCATCTGAAGGCAACTGGACATTCCTTCACAGAAGGGTCACAAGGAAGAGACGAACCAATCAGGTAGCAGTATAGCACCAATGAAACATACAACTTTCCTCTAGTTCTTTAATGCTTCCTCCCCCAACTATCATGACCCCAATTCTACCTTACAAATCTGGCTAGGCCAGAGCATGTACACTGATACAGATAAGAGCTGGAAATACAGGGAATCCAGCACAGATAAACCCCTCAGGACCAATAATGAGAGTAGTGATACAGGAGGGTAAGGGGAAGGTGGGGGGAGAAAGGGGAAACTGATCACAATGTTCTACGTATAACCCCTTCCCAGGGGGATGGACAACAGAAAAGTGGGTAAAGGGAGACATCGGTTGGTGTAAGACATGAAAAACAAATGATAAATTTTCAAGAGTTCATGAAAGAGGGTGGGGGAGGGAGAGAGAAATATGAGGGCTCAAGTAGAAAGAAAATGTTTTAAGAAAGATGATGGCAACATATGTACAAATGTGCTTGACACAATGAATGGATGGATGGATTGTGATAAGAGCTGTATGAGCCCCCAATAAAATGTTTTCTTTTAAAAAAGTCGATTTCAATAGTTGTGGTCTGAACACCAGGAAGAATGGGACCAGGTGGAATGGGCGGGACGGGAGGGCAAGGGCTCCTGTGCTGAATTTGCTACGTCTTCGCTGTTGACTGGACACCTGAGTGGGTAGATGGAACAGGCTCTCTCAGATCTGGAGGCCTGGTCTAGTGGGGGACGCGTTGTGCTGCTAATCTCAAGGTCAGCAGTTTGAAACCACCAGCTGTTTCTTGGGGGAAAGAGGAGGCTTTACAGTCTAGGAAACCCACTGGGATGGTTCTGCTCTGTCCTATCGGGTCACATGAACTTGATGGCAATGATATACTGGATCTGGAGTTTAAGGGGGGAGGTCCAGGATGGTGACAAAGACGTCAATGATGTGAGGTCACAGAGGAAGCTAGTGTAGAAGGTGAAGGTATGAAGGGGCGAGCCCTGGAACACTCCCATGACAGACTCCAATATTTAGGAGTCAGGGAGAGGAGGGGCCAACAAACGAGACCGATGAGGAACGGCTTGTGAGGCACGGGGAGAGGTGCCGAGAACGGGCCCACGAAGACAGTGTCCAATGAGAAGGCGACCCTTCACTGCAGATCACAGGCCACTGGATCTCGCAATATGCGGCCCACTGAGACTGAGGACATGTGTGGGTGGTGTCGTAGGGACAAAAGTTTAAGGGATCAAGAGATCCCTGGGTTCAAGAGAGGATGGCAGGTGGGGTTACAAACAGGGCGTGCAGTTTGCCGAGTACAACAGAAACATAGTGCAAGCCCCAAATGTAAACCAGATGTGAAGGGGCTCCAAAATCCCCATTATCTTTCCATTCTATGGACTTTCTCAATCTCCTTTATATGATTTAAATTGTCTAGTAGCCACTGAAGTCAAAAGAACCGGATGAAACGAATTTGAATAATATATTTCATTTAGCCCACTAGGGTGAAACTACTATAGTGCTAACATATCATCAATATAGTTGTCATTCTTTGTTTTGAACTACATTGTCAAAATCTCCTTTCTATTTCACACTTAAAGAACATCTCAGCGCAGATTAGACACAATTCAAGTGCTCAATGATTTTCTGTGGCTAGAGGCTCCCATATAGAAAACTCTTTTGAGGAATTTTTCTGTAGAGAACAAACAAACAAACTGGTGGTTCCCAGATGGGAGTATGGGATCAAGAGTGTTTATATGCGAAGGGAATCATGTAAGAGAGACAGAGAACGGACACAGAAGCCAAAAGGAGCAGTTATGGGAGAGACCGTCCTCCATCAGCAGACAAGGCTGGGATCTAG